TGATAATCGCATTTTCAGTGATTTTCTGCTGAGCGATGTTGGACAAGATGAACGCCAAGACGAGACACTAAATCGAAAGACGACATTTCAAAATTTAAAATTTTAGCTGAAAAAGAGTATTTTTAATCGTAAGAATTTTTATTTTTCGAAAAATAGACAGGGAAAAAATCTCCAGTCTCTGACAAAATCTCAGAATCTTTGTAGTAGATTTCTTAAATATAATTTGGAAAGAAATATCTAAATCATTGTTCGAATTATTGGACAAAACTTCCAACTACGTGAGTAAGCATTCTCAAAATTTTCACACCGGAAACAGACGTCAAGAAAACAGTTGTATCCGGTCTGGGGCTTGACATCAATTGTAAATAAGTTCCTGATCTGTGATGTGAATGGGTACAAGAAGAGAGATAAATACTGCACGCAGTCTGGAATATCAGGTAAAAACACGTATTCCCCGTGCATTATCAACAGTAGAGATGGATACATGGACTATAATCAAGGATCAAACGTTTTTAACCCTACAACACTAACCATGGGTATATGGTACCCAGTGCAAATTTTCCTATTTTTAATTACAATTTTCAGTATCTGATTTTCTTACCTAAATAATGTTTTTCAGTACCTATTAATGTTAACTCAAAGTACAAAGTTTGAAGTGCCAGCATGTAAAATATTTCAAATAAAGATTTATATTTAATATATTTTTTGATATTTTCTAAATCAAATATGATTTACCCATGGTTAGTATTGGTGTAACTTCAATTGATCGTTAATGTTCTAGGGTTAAAATAAACTTATATATAGATACGTAAATATTGTCATGATATGGCGGATTGGTCAAAATTAGATATATGAAATATGAATAATTATTTTCAACATTTCGCCCCATGCAAGACGATAAAAGCTATTAACATGCAAAGGATTTCTGATAAATAAACAGAAATGACTTAAAAAAAACAGGATTTGAGGAGACAGATGACGATTGATATTGCATTTAAATTTTTAAGGATCCTAGTGAACAGAAAGACCCAAAGGCAGTAAAGAGTTCCACAAGCGGGTAGTGCGGGAGAATTACTAGTAACATAGTACTTACGCATATAATTAATAATTTCAACTGCTACATTATGAGACCTAGCCGCCAGTCAATACAGTGAGTGAATACATGAAGTTGAAGTATCAAAAATATAATCTCATCAAACAATTATCATAAAAATATTTATAGAAAGGACAAAGAGAAGCTACGTTACGACGGTGGGAAAGGGAACGAAGCCTAGATTCAAGCTCAGGGTCCGTACTTTTGCAGATTCTTCTTTGAATTGTGCCAAGAATCTTATATATATATATATATATATATATATATATATATATATATATATATAAATATATATATATAATATTTCCTTCACTTACAATTTTTCCTTTCTATCTTCTTCCCATCCTCATACTTTACCCTCTCACTTTTGGTGTTCTGCTATATTGGAGTAGTTTTCTTTAGCTTGTACATCCTTACACTTTCGCTGAGGAAACTTTTATGATATATATATATATATATATATATATATATATATATATATATATATATATATAAAGCAGAAGCAGCATGCATTATTCGATGAATGCTACACTTACAAATGTGCAAGATAGGTTCTGCCGCGAAAGATTGTCTAGCTCATCTTAGGGAACAATCTTGGCAATTAATTCAATGTAAACTTTCTACTTCCGGTCCAGAGCAAACCTAAGAGCGGGAAGGCGCAGTGATCTTCCTATCCTAGGTATTAGAATCAGCCATGATGATGACAAACGAAAAAGTTTCTTTAAGATGGCAAATGCAGAGCAATTTCGTTAAAATTAAACCACTGATTGTTCCAGTTAACTACAGAGCGGTGGCCATTTTTAGATCAGTTGACTATGTGATATTATCGAACCAATCAGCAGTACATAATGCTAAATTAATTTAATGTAAGCATGCATAATATATAATTGTTAAACAGTTATTAATTTTAAGGGTCTACAATTTCTACTATTGAATGTCTATACGTAAACAAAAGAATCTTCTGTGATTACATTTTTACGCAAGCGCACAGACACGTATTCGAATTATTTTTGCGCTCAAATTCGCAATAGCGTTTGTTTATAGCTACACGTACGACACACACACACAGGTTTCACATATATATATATATATATATATATATATATATATATATATATATATATATATATATATAGTAATAATAAAATATGGTAATCAGTATAGAATTTCCAGGATAATATAGATCCAGGGAGACGTCTATGTCAAAAGACAGAGCAAAATTATTATTAATTAAAGAATATCAAACACTTAAAATCCCAGAGGTAATAATTTTTATTTCATGAGAAATCTAAAAAAGCAGCTCTCAATGTTCAAGACCTACAAACAAATAAAAATAAAAAATGTATTTGTTTGGAGGTCTTGATGATTGAGAGCTGCTTTTTAAAGATCTCATGAAATAAAAATTATTACCTATGGAATTTAATGTTTGATATTCTTTAATTAATTAATAATAATAATATATATATATATATATATATATATATATATATATATATATATATATATATATATATATATATATATATATGTATATATGATGATGTATGTGGGTGTAAATGCCATGTATTTAACCTATTGCTAGATGAGGATGGATTCATGCTTGTTCCAACGCCGATAGCGCGATGTCAACGAAGGAGAATCGACAGCAATTTAAATTTGCCTCAGCCATTCTGCACACACACACACACACATATACATACACGTAAATTTCACATCTGAAGGTGTTTACAAATTTTACAAGCACTGATAATTAAAGTGAAAATCACATTTATGAAATTGTATTAAAATTAGAAGTAAAAATACAGTCATATAGGAATAAAATTAGTAACTACCGACTCTGAGGTTATAGCGTGACACTCTGGACTTTTGAATATATGTTTTTCACTAGGTGTATGAATAGCGGTGTCCTGTTACTGACGGCAGTGATTATTGAGACGAAATAAAGGGTTCGGTGCGAAATTCCACTCACCTGAAGAAGGCCGGAGCGTACAACGATCGAAACGTTGTTAATATATCAATGAAAATGAGAATAACATCCCGGATAATTTAAATTATATATATACATTGAGTTTTACCTGGATCCTTCCTCTTGGAAAAATTTTTTCTGAAAATATACATGTGGGGGATTTTTTTAGATATATTTTTCATATGTATGTATATTTTCCACTATATATATATATATATATATATATATATATATATATATATATATATATATATATATATATAATTTAAATATATATATATATATATATTATAATAATTGCTCTACTATCGGTATTGAGCCTTCTTTTGAATTAAAGCTTTGAACGTTGGAATTTATATATTATTTTCGTTCTCATTACATTCGGACATATAGATAGATAGATAGATAGATAGATAGATAGATAGATAGATAGATAGATAAGGGATTGAGGAAATGATAAAAAAGATAAACGGGATTATTATTTTTAGTACTCGTGCATTAATGCACTGATAAATTTTGATGGGTATTGAATTATTTATGCATCCAATAACATTACTTATTAAATTGTATGAAAATGGGTGAAGATTGATTAAATGTCAACAAAATCGTGCGGCTGAATTTGTAAAAGAAATCTTGAAATACACTCCCCTTCAAATGTTTGCCATCTCTTATTATCTATCTTATAGAGACGGATATATTTGAAGAATGAACAAATATAGGCAGATTAGATAGATACAGAGAGACCGAGTAAAATAGGCGTTTACATGAACAAGACAGATTTAGAAAATGCAGGCTAAACCAGATGAAGCCACATGAGGAAAATGAAGCTTCTGCCGAGCCAAATGTTGAATAATGTCTGATTTGAACAAAAACCCTGTTGCTCAAAATGCCCGAACATTGATCACCAGTTGGAATACGTAACTTAATCACAAGTTTATATTGTTGTAGATAAAGATGAAAATGAATCGCTCCATCGAAAAAAAAAAAAAACTGAAAAAGATATGAACAGAGTAAGATAAATTGATAAGTATCTATAAATATAATTAGATAGCTTAAATGTTTATATTCATCTCTGACAGATTCATAGGTATTAAAAATAGAATTATATAGAATACAGACGTGTAGATATGTTATGAGCTCGATATAATATGAACATAGTTAGATAAATATGATCTGAAAATACGGAAAATATGTCAGAAATTGGATGGAGCATATGAAAAGAGAAAGTTGTTTTCCAGAAACTAAGCAACGAATTAAGAGATAGGAAAATATGTTAAAAAACGGAGAAAATGGTGTAGAAATTATATGTAATACTATAATTACTACTATGCCTCTTGATTCCTTGCGGAACATAGGGCCGCAACAACACCTTTCCAGTGGACGCGGTTCCGGGCGATCCTCTTCAGCTCGGCCCATGTCGTGCCGGCTGCCTTCACCACCACTTCAACACTTCTACACCAAATCTGGTCGACCACTTTTCGCTTCCCTTGTGGATTTCAGTCAAGGGCCTACCTGGTGACACTAGAAGCTGGCTTGCGGAATGTGTGGCCAATCCATCCCCATTTCTGTTTATGATATCAATCTCGATTGGGGATTGTCTGGTCCTATCCCACAGTTGGTCGTTGGAGACGATATTAAGGCTGTTCCTGAGACATCTGTGTGCAATATATGATCTGAAATGGTCATAAATCCTGAAAAAGTTCCTGACAGATTCGTCAGTGAATTGAAGTGACGGGAATATGCTTACACTGACGAATAGTAAGAATGCCATGGAAAGGACACGTGAATAACTCGGAAGATTTAAGGAGAAAAGGGAATGTAAGAAAATGTATTCTTACAACAAGAAAGATACAATTAAAATCTTTGTGATCCGAAATAAGAAAAGAGAGTCTAGAGAATGTAAAACTCACAGGACAGGAGGAAACTGGGAATACAGTTTGCTTACGGTCATATAATAGTAAAACACCGGTTCCCGTACGGTCACTGAAGTTAAGCAAAATGGAGCTTGGTCAATACCTAGTTGGGTGAGCGCTTGGAAATACCAGGTGTTGCAAGCTTGAATCTATTGGTGCTGTAATGGATAACGGCTCGAAATTGTTAATCGGAGAAACTAGTTCCAATTTCAGTTGGGTTTCTTGTATTCACCTACGAGCAAATATCTTTGGGAAAGGTATGAATCCAACACTTCTCCCTCCAGCTGTGGGTTAATTAGTATGACTTGTATCACTAAATCATTATTATCTCAGAAACAGTTCTTACAATCTAAAATAATTTCTGACATTAAACAACCTGCAAATGTTTGATATACCGTAAAATAGGAATCAATAAAAAGCAAATACCTTTGAGAAAGATGCAAACCCACCTCTTCGCACCTACAGGTTTGGGTTACATATAAGATTTTATCATCATCTAAAAAAACTTAAAGAAAACTAGATTCCACCAATCTAATAATATTTTCCGGCTTTAAATAACCTGGAAATGGGTGATAAACCATAAAAAAGAACCAAACAAATGACCGAAGTCTGGATTGTAGAATCAATATCGTCCCTACAATCATTTCATTAGCTGTATATAGGTGATAAGTCATAAAAATGAACTAAATAAATGACAGCAGTCTGGATTGTAGAAACAATATTATCGCCATGGTCCTTTCATTAGCTGCATATAGGTGATAAGCCGTAAAAAATGAACCAATCAAATGACCGGAGGCTGGATTGTGGAATCAATATTATCCTCACGGTAATTCAATAGCTGCATATGAAAAATGAACCAATCAAATGACAGCAGGCTGAATAGTAGAATCAATATTATCGCCACAGTCCTTTCATTAGCTGCATATAGGTGATAAGCCGTAAAAATGAACCAATCAAATGACCGGAGGATGTATTTTTGAATCAGTATTATCCCTACGGTCGTTTCATTAGCTGCATATAAAAAATGAACCAATCAAGTGACAGCAGGCTGAATAGTAGAATCAATATTATCGCCACAGTCCTTTCATTAGCTGCATATAGGTGATAAGCCGTAAAAAATGAACCAATCAAATGACCGGAGGATGTATTTTTGAATCCATATTATCCCTGCGGTCGTTTCATTAGTTGCATATAAAAAATGAACCAATCAAATGACAGCAGGCTGAATAGTAGAATCAATATTATCCCCACGGTTCTTTCATTAGCTGCATATAGGTGATAAGCCGTAAAAAATGAACCAATCAAATGACCGCAAGCTGGATTGTAGAATCAATATTATCTCCTCGGTCCTTTCATTAGTTGCATTTAGGGTATGCTCGACTAGCTTTGCATACTGTTTTTGTATTCAGAGTTGTCCTTTTATTAAACTGTTTGATATGCAAGGCTGAAGAGCCCAGATGGTGAATTGAATGGAAAAACCTGAAAAGGATTGATGCTCAAAGGTCAAAAAGTACTTATTTTCAATATTGTTCACTTCATAAATGTCCGAAGAGGCACTTAAGGTAGTTAGTTACAGAATATGTTCTAGTAGACGAGGAAGTGTTGCATATTATTTTGATATGTAGAGTAGATATGGGTTGACCCTAGATGTGAAAATATTAGGATTGTAGTAGTCAGGAATTTTTTTCCACGTAGTGACAATACTGGAGAAGAAGCTGAGTGAAGCTTCCTCCTTACCAACGTATGAGGATGATTTGGCGACGCTTACGTAGCATAATGGATCCTAGCTCAGAACGTCAGTTCTGGTAGAATTAAAGAATGTACCAAAAAAGACTGTAGATTGTTGAGAAATATGTTCGTCCACGTTATTTAGAGACGTAGCTCATAAAAATATATGCGCCGGATCATTATGACCACTTGTTTAATAAAGTTTAGTTCTCTCTCTTCCAACAATGATGTTGATCCATCATGGGATCTGCAAGAAACGTAAAATTTTCGCCGGGTCAATGATGTTTATATCTAGTCCTTTAATAATTGTAAATTTTATGGTCGAGTTCTGTATTACAGAGGTTTTGGCCTAAACCTTCTAATAAGTATTTCATATACATGACTTCTAAATAGCGATTTACTAATCGTAGCTTATATATGACACAATTCCGAAAGGATAGAGCACCCTTTGAGGATCGAACTCACTACACAGTTATAACTGATCTAGCGAGACAGACTTGTCACACTACTTCAAATTGGCTCTGATATCTAAATAGTTCCGGTATGAAATGTTTGAATATGTTTATTCATGCCACTGTATGTCAGTATGACTTTAATTACGTTTTTCCAGTGATTTGAACAGTGGATGAAAGATCTTAAATTTCTTTCCAAATGATATTTAAGAGACTTTAGACTTCAAACAACCCGGAACTTTATCAGTTCAGAGAATGGATGTTTTATCATGCCCCGGTGTATTTTAAACATTCCCTACGTTTAAAAAAACTCTTGAAAAATATTTTTGACATGTCTAAATTTTGTAATTTTCCTGTCTAATGATGTCAGTAATCTTATCCAACCCTGATCAAGAGTAGTAAACCAAACCCAGATTTTGTATATCATTAGTGGTTTATGTAACCCATTAAATCTAGCATCTCCCCGAAGTGCTAATGATGCGTGCTAGTTAAGCAGTTTTGTGGCTAGAGAAATGCACTAAATTTTTTTCTGCCATCTTTTCCCCAACACTTTACGCTATGCGGCTGAGTAAATCAGCCAGCCTTCTGAAAGCTGCCACTACAATAACCAAATGTGGTTGGCACCATGAGATGTACCCACTCTTCAATGATGTTGAAATATATGTTACGTGACAAAGTACATTCAACATGAGACGATTCATATTTTGCTGGCAATAGGTTGCTCAAACTGTCTCCAACCGGTTGTATTATGAGGCGCCATTGATTCTGCGGAACAACGACGCACGCAGACCCCGTGGTCCAACGTATTCATATGAAATCGTGACTCATCAAAAGAGGTCACATTCTTCCGTCGATACAGTGTCCATTTCTGTAGTAGAGATCTGTACCTATTTAAGGGGCCATTTAATATTTCATTTGTTTGGCATGCGTCCTTTGAAAGAACTGTTTCAGCACAGCCTAAAACGCATGGATTATCGCTGTACTTCATGTTGTGACACACTCACCTTCCTTCACTTTGATTAAAATTAGTTGTAATTTGAGTTAGAGTAGGTTTTCGTTTAGGTTATACTTGACAATATATCATATTGATAAGATTTGGCCTATCAGTAAGCGTTTTTTTGTACTTATATGTTACGACATCACGACCAAAAAGAAAGTTCCAACGACACTGATTTCTGCTTGAATGACCTCAACAGCGCAAATAATAATAATAATATATCTCTATGTGTGAGAGGGGCCTCTCGGCGTGGTGTAGTGGTAAGTAAGCTTGTCTCGCTAGATCAGTTACGACTGAAAAGTGAGTTCGACCCTCGCTGGGTGCCCCATGCTTTCGGCATTGTGCCGCATCTAAGCTACGCTTGGAAAATCCCTATCCTATGTGTGAGAGTCATTGAAAATCAAATTTGACAACGAGGGGTACAGAATTAATTTCAACTTGGAATTAATTTCAGTTTCAATGAATCTGTGAAGTTTTCACACGAAATTAAAATTTAATTTATTGATTTTCTTAAATTTTGATCAATAACGGCTTCTTTTGAACGAGAGTTTTTTTACAACGTAAAAAAAAAACGGCTAAGCAATCCACTGTTCTTGCTACAAAGAACATTGCATTTTTATTGGATTAGATTTAAATGAATAAAAGTAAATAAAAATGTACCATTTATTCATTTCCAACATAAAAGAATGAAAGTTGCAGAAAAGATATATTCTGAATTATCTTATCTACTAAGGATTTTTAACGTTAAATTAAAAAATTAACACCACTTCATTGCATTTTGTTTTGGAATTCACGGAAATTGATAAAGTTTATTTTAAATCGAGTTGAAATTAATTCCGAGTTGAAATTAGTTCCATCACTCTGCTAACAGACATCAAAGAAAATTAATTTGTCCTTTATCAATTTCGACAATTTTTAACGAAATAGAAGATATTGAGATTGCTATGTCGAATATATATATATATATACATATATTTTTTACCGCTTAAATATATAACGGATATAATCAAATCCATCATCTGAAACTCGCGAAGCTCATTGGAGGTATCATATCTTTATTTTGGCAGCGAGAATAAAATGCACATTGTCGGAGTTACATTGATACGTGATGGTAATTTGGACAGAAAAAGATGTCAGCGTAGCTAGTGCTATTCTCCAAGTGTACTAGATGTCATAGAGACCAGATTCAAATAGCTTTTCCAGGCAGACAAAAGAACTTATTACTTATTAGAAATTACTAAAAATGGAGACATTTTATTTTGTTTATAAAGAAAAACATTTTAGGAAAGCATTTTAAAATTTTCAGGATTGATCTTGATTTTTTTTTTTAATATGCAATGTGACCCCAAACTCCATAAACTACTGCTGGCTCCGTGATCAAGGTATTATTGCCCCAAAGAATGTTGCCGTCAAAGAAACAGTCGCAAATCTGATGCAGCGAATTCCGAGTTGCCCCTGTACAAGGCCCGGTGACCACACGTGATGGAGGGTTACGTTGAGGCAGTTTATATGGATAGAAGGGGAAGATGGTCAGTTTAATAAATCAAGTGACAGAGTACCAGGCACTTTGGAATCTGTTCAGAACCCAAATGAATTACTCAACACTATTAAAGTATTCCTTACAACAGGCTTAAATTAAAGTTGAGACACATAATCTTTCTCAGATATCTAAGCTCACCAGAATTATAGGAGCAACTTCTCCTACATCTCAACGAAGCAATTATCCTGAGATAGGCTAAAAGAATGTTATGTTCATTGCCAGATGGAAGAAGCAATATCCAGAAATTCTGTCAACCAACCAAAACCAGACTAAATTATTCATTTTATTTGAAGCATTAGATTATATTTTTAGTAAGTGCTAATCTTTGATGTTTAAATTATCCCGTTTTCATTTTGTAAATAGAATAAAACAAACTAAATTAAATTTTCAAAATAGTTGAAATTATCTTTCCCTGGGCAATGATGG